AGAGAGAGAGAGAGAGAGAGAGAGAGAGAGAGAGAGAGAGAGAGAGAGAGAGAGAGAGAGAGAGAGAGAGAGAGGGAGAGTCTTTCCCAACATACAGGGGCAAATGGGGATGAGGAATGGACAGAAAAGAGATGAAGGAGAAGAATGATACTTAGTAGTTGGACCGCGGTGTGGATGAACAAATGTTTGCTCCTCCCACCTCTTTGTTTTAACCTTTTCCTCTCTCTTTTCTTTTTCTTTATCCCTTTTTCCCTTTGTTCCATCCTCCTCTCACCTCTTTGGCTAGCTTGACTTCAAGGAACCCCATCTCGACTTTGAGAACTTCGTCTGAACTGTGGATATCGGAGTGCATCCACGCTTCGCGGAAGAAATCTCGCCCTCCCCAAAATGATACGTCAGTTGGAAAACCAACCCCCTCATCCGGTATGTAATACTCTGAGATCCCGTCTGTGGTCTTTGACCTCTGATCCTCGCCATGCTCAAACGCCCAACTACTCCCTTTCTTTTCTTCATCCTCCTTTCCATCTACCGTAGTGGTCATTGACTCCCCGGTTTCCTTTGGCATCTCTCCCTTCTCAATCTCCAAAGCCAAGAAAAAGGCCCTCCTTGTTGTGGAATCCAACAACTCCCGGAATTGTGCTCTCTGTAGCCTGCTCTTGTTGAGGCATGCGACCGGATAAGGTTTCATTCTCTTGCTATCCATCAGTTTCATAAGGATGGTGTCAAATTCGCCCTTCACCTTCATGGAGAATGCCACCCCTGGCCCCTCTAGGTCCTTGTCCTGCGATCCTGGACCTTGTGTCAGTCCAAAAAATGACCTCAGCTCCTTCAACTGCTCATTCATTTCTTTGCCATATCCCATCAAGTAGGGCACAGACGTAGGAAGACGCCCAGACGACAAGTCCTTGCCCTTTGGCGACTGAAACCTACTGGATGCTGCCTCCATCTTCTTCTCCCAGATCCCCCGCAGATGGCGCACGGAAGGAATACCCCCCAACCAATCCCTCAACTTCGCATCCAGTGCAACACTTCCCCCAAGAGGTGCCTTTATCAACAGATACTTCAGGTCTTCCTCCGCTCCTATGCGCACGATATCCATGGCCTGCTTGTACAGAATTGGCCTGTAAGCAAGTTGCAGCCAAGGGATTCTTCGTATGAAGTGATGGGTATGGCGCAGGCATACGTGCTCATAAACTTGATTCCTAAGGAAGTGGCGTGCATCCGACTCCGCAAGGAGATCATACACACTTGTGCTCTGTTCGCCATGATGGTTTCCAGGCATCCCTGCATGCGATGCCCCCTCGGCTCTTGGCCTCTGCCTTGTATTACTACTCTCAGCTTTGGCAGCTTTTTGAGAAGCAACTAACTTGTCCATTACATGAAGTCTACCCAGCCGGATGTCTATGTCTTCGAAAGCACGAGCAAACCACTTCATCCGCTTCTGGGTGGCTTTCGCCTCTGATGGCGAGAGGGGTTGTGCCAGAGCTGTGTTGGTGCACGCGTGCATGCCCAACAGACAAAAAAAAAAAGGAAAACAATGCAAATGCCCAAGTCATGTCAATCATCATTCACACACACGAAGGAAACAACGAAAACAAAAGGACAGGCAGCACTAATCATCTTCTTTGTCATTCATTCTAAGTCTGGTCTGACACTAAAATTTGGCAGCACATTGCAAAGCTAAATAGTTGCAAGTGCCTGATGGGCCTTTCATGATGAGCTTGGGAGTCGTCCACGCGGATTTGTTTTTTGGGATAACTTGAGAACCGTGCAATTGAGTTTACAAACCCCAACAAAGACTGCATGCTGCAAAAACGCGTGGCCTGTAACTGGCACTGCAACAAAGTGTTTTGGGCTGCAAAAAAGTGCCACCAGAAACTGCTGAGAACTGCAAAAAGCTTCCAGGTTTAAATGAGCCCGCCTGTCGAGCCGGAGAGCTGGTCCAAATCATTGGACAAGGAACCGGGAACTGTTTTGCAGTCGGTATGAGAAACCAGTGTGATTGAAAATAAACTCTCTCTCTCTCTCTCTCTCTCTCTCTCTCTCTCTCTCTCTCTCTCTCTCTCTCTCTCTCTCTCTCTCTCTCTCTCTCTCT